GGAAAAGAGTAGGAACTTTTGGATCAAGAAATTCCACAGGACGCAAGGCAAGCAGAAAAGGCACACATCAGGATGTAGACAAATCTGCGCCTGAATCTGAGCTTGGTTCCCCTTAGCTATTTAACCTTGGCCAAATCTGAATAATCTCTGTCAGCCTCCACTTCAGTTTCAGTAGAATAGATACAAAATACTCACTTACTGGGTACCAGCAATTAGAGTAATGGCTATGTCGCTGGACTCCCACGTAGTCGACCGCGGTTCGCATCCCGGATCCGGTGGCTTAGAACTCACGCCGGGCACGTGTGTGTGTGTGTGTGTGTGTGCGCCCAAGATCCCGAGAGGAGAATGGAGGAGAAGGGATTGCGGCGTGACCATCCCCCCTGGGGGGTGATTTCTCGCTTTCTGTCTCTATGTCTCTCTCTGTCTGGTGAGCGCACGCACCCTATAGCAAAAACCTCTCCAAAAAAAAAAAATACTCACTTACTTCAAAAGATAGTAGAATAAAAGGAGACGGGCCATGTGAAGAGCCCAATATCCTATGTGATGCCAATAAATACTGATGTCTGAAAGAAGGGCTGAGGAGAAAACTCTGGAGAATGCTTATTACATGAAAGAAAACAGATCCTTCCTGGCCTCTTTGGTAAGAGTCAGGCAATTTGTTAGGCACTGGTTTCACTCTGTGTTACTTAAATCTTAAGATATCCTTTAAGTTGCCCAGCAGGTGGCATGGAGTTTAAGGTACTGGATCCTACATGGCTGACTCTACAGTCAAGGCCTGAACATGGTGGCTTAAAAATCACAGTGGCTTGAAAATTACGGTGGCAGGGCAGGCAGGTGGTGTCATGGTTAAGGTGCTGGACTCCCACATGGCTGACTGTGGTTTGAGTCCTGAACCTTGAAGCTTGCTTTCTCATCTTCCCTTTCTCTCTGGTCAAATTTAAATAAATAAATAAAATTTAAATAAAATAAGTATTTAAAAGGAAAAAAAAAAGAAAATCACACTGGGTGCATGTTATAGCTATCAGCCCCCCCTTGGGGGGAGTGGTGTTCTCACTTTCTCTGACTCTCTGTCACTCTTTGTCCAGTGAGTGCACATACCCTATGGTAAAAACCTAAAAAAGGAAAAAAAGATGTACTTTAACTATTCCCTCCCTTTTTTTGTTTACTGTTTAATTTTTTTTTTTTTTTTTTTTTTGCTTTAGGACATATGCACTTGTCAGAGAGGCAGAAAGCAAGAACTCACCCCCCACCCAGGGGAATGGCCACACCACAATCCCCTCCCTTCCATTCTCCTCTCAGGATTTTGTGCATGCATGCACACATGCCTGGTGTGGGTTTCAAACCGCCAGGTCTGGGATTTGAACTGTGATGAGCCATGTGGGAGCCCAGAGCCTCGACCACCATGCAACCTGCTGGCTCCCCACTTTCTTGTTTTAAAGAGATTAAGTAACTGGGGCCAGTAGGTAGCACAGCGGTTGAAGCACTGGACTCCCACATGGCCAACTGTGGTTCGAGTCCCAGATCCTGAGGCTTGAAACTTACACTGGGCCCCTATCTCTCAGCCTAAAATCCCAGGAGAAGGGATTGAGGCATGGCCATCCCCATTTGTGGAGTGATTTCTTACTTTCTCCCTCTCTTGTCTCTGGAAAGTACATGTGCCCTATACAAAAATCTCTTTAAATAACTAACTAACTAAATAGATAGATAGATTGATTGATTAAGTAACTAAGCAGGTCACCAGAAGTGGTGAGTGCTAATTCAAAGACAGGTTTTTCTGACTCCAAACACGAAGTAGGCTGTCTACTATATGCCTTCCATGGTGATTTTTGAAAGCACATGCTGCTCTCAAACAGTGGCTGCAACTGAAAATAAGTGAACACTAGTTTTTAGATTTTAATCAAGCCTACCATTGTAATTAAGGTTTACTACCTAATGCACCACAATTAATCATTTCAACAATAGCTATCCTTATACAGAAACCATTATTTACAAAATCTAGGTCATAGAAGAGTAAGCCACAGTATGGGCTACCCATGTACACACACTGTTAATAGGAACCCCAGCTTTGATCAACGAACTAAGCTACTAGTAAAATTGAGAGAGGTCTTGATGACACTTGCATTCATTTAGGGGTAGAGTACCTGGTGCTAAACAGAACTTCCTACAGCAAACCCCATTAAGAGTCCAAGACAAACTTAACATTAACAAATTCCTCATTTCATTTGGATTGAGGGCCTAAACTGTACACAATCTTTAAACTCTTATGCCACCTAAAAATAATTTTCATTATTAGCATCGCATAAATCATAAGTTCTCACAAACTATAATAATTTCCCATCAGTTCACTAAGCTTCTGAATCATTAACAAAAACTTTAGCAGAAAATCTATGACTTAATTATTCAATACTTCACAAGACAAAGAATGGGAGTACTTCTATGACACCATATTAAATCATAAAGATGTTTCAAAAATTAAACTTCAAATAGAGACAAGTCTGCCATAAATCTACTGGGGTTGTCAGAAAAGTCATGATGTATTTTTTTGTTTTTCTATGCAAAAGCGCTTCATGACTTCTGACGCCAACCCAATACCATGTAAATAATTTACAGGTACCACATTAAGGCCTGTCCATATCCCTTTTACAGGGAATCTGGCAAGCCCAGATAAAGATCCCTCAATTAAGAAGTTAAGTTTCAATTTTTTTTACCTAGTTTTCTAAAGCACAATCCTTTGAGGAATTTACATGTATCAACTTATAAAAAAACAAAACCCTGTATTTACCAACAACTATATGGACACTTCTTCTAAGTCCTTAATTTTTGAAATAGCAAAAGAAAAAAGTGAATAGGGCCAAGATGTGTGGTCTTGAACAAGGGGTGGCAAAGAAGACAATTCCAAGAGATTGTCAAGGCCAATGACCTTGAGAAGTTTACAATCTACTGTACAGTCTGTTCTATTTAAAAACAAAACATAACAATCTCCTTTCAACAATTTACTGACCATTTTAAACAAAAATAGGTGTGGTCTTTAAGCTGAAACCTTTAAGTAGGAAAGGAATACTGTAGGGAAGACGACCAAAAAACAGATTCATACAAATTAAAGAAGGACAAACATGACTAAAGAACCAGATGCTCTAAATAATATATCCCTAAAAATGTGTCTGACCAGCTATAACTAGTTTGAAAAGATACAGCCAAATCTACTAGTTAAGTCAACTTGAGAACTGGAAATGAAAGATAATATTGAAGTAGGTAGTATTTTACTGAACTTAATAGAATTAAAAATACAAACAGGGCACAACTTCTATTAGTAGTTTTTCTAAGAAAATGTTACTGTAAACTATTAAGACAGCAATGAATTTAAGCAGCTGGAAAGAAATGTATGACTGGTGTCCAATGTGTCTACATTATCATGCCCATGGCAGACATCACTAATCAATCACAACACTTTCCTCCCTACACTGAGCCTCATGATTTTTCTCAACATAATCTTCCAATAGAAATCAGGATGGCACTGGAACTGAATCTACTGGTTGCCCTGATAGCCGTTTTTCAGTTACTGTTCAAATCAACTAAATGAAGAACCTCATATTTTTGTATTTATTGTTCAATGAATTTATATAAAGTTCATTTGTTTCCCAAAACATAAAACACCTTCTAAAAGTTAATTTTTTCCCTGTTAAAAAAGGATGACAAATCAACAAAAGCTTAATTAGGAAAAAAATGTTTTTAAAAAGAGTTATATTCTACTTAAGAGTTCTATAACAACATCTTTGAGCCATTTGAATTAAAAAATCAGACACTTTCTCTGAGTATTAACAGAGTTAAAGTCAGACAGGCCAACACATTTAAGGATGAAAAAATACATAGTTCTAAAAAATCAGTATAATATAAATACACACATCTGTAAATTGAGAAAGCAGCACTGATTTTGTTCTTGCAGTTTAACAGAAATACAGATCAGTATTAACAAAACACCAAGGAGAATATATGCAATCATTTAAGGTTTCTGTTATGCTGTTCAAAAAGAATGTAAGGTAGAGCTCAGGCTGGAAAACAAAAAGAGAAATAAGAACAAATCCCCAGAACTCAAGGATCATGTTACCATGGGTGGGCGACGTTTGGCATAAAGTAAATCAACAGGGAGGAGTGAAAAATCTGGCTTCAGGAAGTTGAAGAATGTACTGTGGTAGGAGTGAGAATGAATTACTTCCTAAATACTCAAGTCTAGCAAAGAAAAATACCTAAGATTCTGCGAGTAAGCGAGGAAGTTCCAACATTCTAGCGTAACAGAATTCAAGCATTACATACACATAGGAAGACATTGCAATTTCAGGAATACAAGTAACATGTAACATGGAAAAGGGCCATGGGCCCCTAACCAACTGCAATCTGTACCACTACTAAAAATAGCAAGCAGCTTTGAGAAACTACCTGCTGTGTCTACTAGGGGAAAAAAAACTAATTGCACACATTTTATATGACTTTTTAGGAAAGGTCCTTCACCAGAGACTGTTAAGTAGACATGAACTGAAATTATAGGTATCTAACACATTTGTAGTTCCATATCAGAGGTCCTTCAGACCTTTTATCCCATTATTCCCTACTATGTTAAGGACTAAATAGTTCTGCACTCCTTTCTCTCTTAGATTGAGTATAAAAAGTATAATGAACTTCTTGCCCAGGCCTTTTCTCTTCTCCCTAAAGCAGGAGTAAAGACTCGAAACATTTGAAATCCATTCATTATACAGCGTCTATTATAAACCTATGGCATTTGATAAATGGAGGGTTGGGTGGGAGAGTCAAGACTCGGCAAGGTCCGAATTAAAGAAAGCTACCCAAAGGAAAGAATGAAGAGGGAGGGAGATAAGGAAACCCCTTTCCTTTCCTTTCCCCTGTTGAGAAAAACAAGTGTTCCTCCTTCACACAGTCCAGAAACAGGTTCTAGCCTTTGGGAGTGAGTCACCCAAGTGCTGAATGGAGCCAGACTACCCGCTCACCTCCTGGATGCGCTTCCTGGCCCGCTGAAGCACTTCTTCGTAGCCCTTCTGCCGCAACTCGCTGAGGCTCTCGTAATACTCCTCCGGGTCGTCGGTTTCAGCGAAGAGCACCTGGGACAGGATCTTCCAGCCGCAAGTGTCCAGGCCATGGCCCAGGTAGACCTGCAGCTGGTAGCACAGAGTGTCGATCTCCTGCTCGCTCATCTCGGGGGCGCCCCCAAACAGCACGGTCCACATGCCCGACGGCTCCTCGGGGAACACTGGCAGGCACGGCTCCAGCTGCGAGTTCACAGAGCACAGCTGCTGGTGCACGGCGCGCAGGTCTTGGAAGGAGAAGAGTCCGGCCCAGCTGCACTCCTCGGCCGCAGACTCCAGATCGGGGGTGGCCGGCGACTGCTCCGAGTCCGCCAGTGCTGGAGGCGCCTGGTCCTCCCTCACTACGTCCAGTACCTCAATTTCCTCGGCCACTACCCCGGAGGCGCTCACCACCCTCACGGACGACACAGGGGGGGCCTCCTTGGGCGCGGGCTGGGCCACCACCCCCGCTACCTCCCTGCCTTCAGCTCCCTTGCGCACCGGGCTGGCCTTGGTCCGCACTGGGCTCCGGAGAGGGCTCTCAGCCCCTTGGCCAGCCGGGCTCCGCAGCAGCCTCTCGCTCCGAAGACTGCGTGCATTCCGCGGAGAGCCGCCTTCGGACCAGGCCGGCCTTC